ATGAGTGAACACACACCAATGTACTGTATACATCAGTATACAGTACATTGGTGTGTTCACTTGTGATTGGCTACGTAACAGGTGATACATAGCAGTGCAAGCTATGAATCTAAGATTGATTGTTGGATCTCCAATAGACATGCACCTTATGCAGTAGTTTGTTTTTACACACTGGAAGGTGTCGATCACATTGCTAAAAGGTAACCAGCAGATCCTAAAGCATTGGAGGTATGGTTTGCAGTTGACATCTTCCCCCCCACAAGGCCATATTTGTTCTATGGGTACCAACTTTTTGGAAATATGAAATTCTTATTTCTTACGAAGGGAGTCAAGAGAAACAAAAGAAAAAAAAAAAAGAAAAAAGTGGAAAATAGAGAGCTCAAAAAAGTTGTGTTTGTTTTTACCTAAATCGTTTTGGGTTGATCAAATATAAATTGGCATACGACTGTTATCTATGGCTGCTCATAATTAAAACATATATACCTTAAAAAAAGCATATGTGCGAGTAGGGGTGTCAATGGACCAAATTCGGGTTAGACCCTATCTAAATCAAAATTAATTTGGACAGATTGGATGGACCAATATGACATTGAATTAGACCAGTCTATATTTTATGGTCGTAAGTATTTTATTGGATTGGATTGGACCTGGCCCATCCCTAATGAATTTATATTAGATTGGGTCAGATTGAACCAATATCTTATCCATTGATAGAAACAGGTATCAATGGATCAGGTTTGGGTTGGAACCAACCTAAATTAAAACCAAATTAAACAGATTGAATGGTCCAAATATTGAATTGGATTGGTTCAAAGTATTCATCAGATTTGATCGAACATGATCTATTTGTAATGGATTCATATTGGACCAGATCGGATTGGATCAAATCTGGTCCAATTAACACCCCTATGAGAGACTATTTGTCAAAACATCAAATTGGCATTTCTTGCTCCAAGAGAGATAAACTCTAATCATTCTAGTTGGAGTGATTCTCATATGGATGTGACAATACATACTTTTCACCAATTTTGTGGAGTTCAACATTTTTCTGTGCCTTCCACTATTCTCAGTTCAACAATATAGAACCCCAGCAAATAAGATATCATCAAATTAGGTTTACTAATTCGGATACAATTGAAAATACCCCTGCCTAGGAATTGCAACGGGGTAGGAATCATATTCTTCATCCCCAACCCCAATCCACCTAGAGATAAAAGTTGTCATCCATCATTGATCCCCAATGGAGATGGGTTCTTTGCAAGGATGTGAATCCCCAAAAAAAATTAATTAATAGTATTTTTGGAAAAAATTACTTAGAATAAAGGAAAATTTTTAAAATATAAATAATATTTTAAATATATTTTGATATATATCCTATCTCCATCTCGAATCCCTAATCAGGGATCCCTATTAATCTTTATTCCCATCCCCGCCCTACCAAAATAATCTCCATCCCCAACCCGATGGGGTCAGGAATGCCAAGTACCTAACAAGGATGGGGAAAATTTCCATCCCTACCATTGTCTTGCTTAACCTATCCTTTTTTAATACAAGGCACCATTCTTCAATCTCGCAGCAACAACTGAGATATGGGTAATTTGGATGCTTGAGAAAACTTACGATACATTTTCATTCTGCCTCTATAACCTGGTAGAGATCAACTTTATCTACCTTTTCAAAGAGAAAGTTAAACATAATAGCCTTACACCCTACATATATGTCAAGGTCAATATTGATGTTGCAGCCAGGCTGGTTGTACACAACAATAAGGCCTTGTTCGTTTTTCAGTAAGTTACTTACTCGGGTAAATGCACTTAATTACTTGGGTAAGTGTTTCCTAGGAAAGACTTACTCGGATAGTCTTTTATTTCCCATGTAAATAAGGCAATGACCATTTTAGTTATAAAAATTCATTATTTAAAGGGGCATTTTTGTCCCATTCAAGTGTTAGTGACTTTCCCCCAGGTGGGAAAGTTATTTACCCACTTAGGAAATGGGTATCACTTTTTTGGATAAGTGATACCCAGGAAAATAAACTTTCCCTAATCCCCACATATATCTGATAAAAGAACATAGGTTTCTTGATCAATGGGAATCAAAATCCCATTGACCAACTTTCCTCCTCTCAAAATCCAAGAAAAGAATAGTGACTTTCCCCCAGGTGAAAAAGTTATTTATCCACTTAGGAGATGGGTATCACTTTTTCGGGTAAGTGATACCCAGGAAAATAAACTTTCCATAATCCCCAAATATATCTGAAAAAAGAACATAGGCCCTAAGGGTAATCAAAAGCTTATGCATTCTTTGAAGGAATACTTTTTGTTGATTCCTTTAAATTTACACATTATTTTTGAAGGCGGTGCTCTTTCAATTGTAAGCCTATTGTTGGTGGCTGATTCTATTCTATTCCATTGTGGAGATTACATACGTGATAGTCAATTGCAGAGGTCTTCTTCCTCACCAACCTTCATTATCAATACATTTAGTTCTCTGGCGGCAAATTCTGTTGCACATTGTATTTCCCGTCATGGATTAACTCTCAATTGCCCTTGTACTTGGCCTGTGGTCCCTAATTTTTTAAAGCATGTATTAGTATCTGATTTAAACTGATAATGAATATATTGCCTACGGGCTTTCCTCAAAAAAAAAATAAAAAAAAGTCTTATACCTCTACAATATGCCGTCAACTTTTTGAAAGAAGCCTGTAGGCAGAATTCCATTARCCCGATGAAGAGTCCATTTCAACAGTATTACATAAAAAATCTGGAATAGTAGACCAAGTAAAAAAGTCTAGACAGAGATAAACCCCGTCTAGCAACTAAATGAGCAGCAACATTTGTCGTCCGTCGCACACAGTTCATCGAGCAAGAATGGGTTTGATAAAAGGCTCTTGCAAGCAGTAATGACATGGATCAACTGCTACGGTGGACGGATATTATCCACCAACATGAGTTTAAAAATACTATAAGCAACACCTTAAATAATAACATATGATGATTGAAGCTCTGGGACTAAAGCAGACCATGATAAAGAGCCAAAGCTTCAGGCTTCAGTCATGATGGAACTTTCACATTTAATAGGCAAAGTTCTTGCAAGAAGAAAAGTACCAATATGATCCTGAATGACTAGTCCAACAGAATCCACACCATGTTTAAAAGTATCATCGACTTCACTTTTAAAAAAAAATTATAAGGGCTAAGAGTGTCGAATTTCAGTGTGAGCCTTGCGTATAACAACAGTAGGATCGAATTGAACACCATCAAGTAAATGAGCAATTCGGGCATACCATATTTGCTTCATAATAATTCCACCTTGAAATAGATAGCCATCTATCAAATAATTGAGTTGGCGATCTCGCTGCCACCAACAATAGAGAAGCGTCGGTATATCTGTAATTAGCAAATCATCAATTCTGAAATTCAAACATGACCCAAGCCAAATTGTTTGAACCGCTGAACATGACAATAAGGAGTGCACAATATAATAGTGTCTTGTGAATGATTACAGAACGGACAGCTTATATCAATATGGATATTGTGCTTCCATAACAGCTCAGCCGTAGATAGAATATTGTGTGTACAACGCCATAAAAACAGTATGACCGATGGAGATAAGTACTTCTGTGACCAAAGATGATTCCATTGCAAATCAAGTAAAATAATAGTGGGAGAGGAAGAGCTGGGCATGCTTTATTTTTACCCAAAAAAATATTGATGAAGTGTTAGTTGTTACAGGCCCGAGTCCTGCAGTGAAAGTATATGCATTTCTCCCCACAAACGTCGGATTCTGCCGGAGTAGTCCAACAACTACTGGCAATATTGAATTTGTGCCAATCATCATGGAGTATCTCAATTCTATGACCATTTAGACTGATTGGTCCAATAAGAACATGACTTGAAATGATGTGGTGGGTAATGGTTGGCCCAATACTATGATCATCTAGATTTTCCCATTTACTTTTTCTACCTCGGTGCCCCAACCCATCCTATCAGCCACTTTGCGCTAAAAACCACAAACACTATATGAGAAAATGCATGATGCCGGAAAAGTATGATACCGAAAGAACATTGATCAATCAAAATTCACTGTGAATCCTGATGAAAACCACCCTAATTATCACTTAATTTCATGATATCATGATACCAGTTGATTGGTTCTAAGGTTTTTCTATATCATAATGTAGTAACGTTTTCATTTGTGTAATTCTTTTAAAAATGGATGAAAAATCATAAATCATGTTTGCTAACATCTATGTTATATGAAAATAAAAAATCCAAATTCTGCTAGGCAACGGTTGTCTCAAACTCTTGAATCAGCATTTTTTTACGATATCGGAAATTGGGAAGAGACACGGCATAGGTGTTATTGGAGAAGGGGCTATGACCACATGAATCTGGCCCCATATTTTTTCATAGAAAATATTCTTATCCCGTATATATTTAAATGGGCTGTGATGCAAAGAAGGCAACAAAGCCATGATTTAATTACATATTATTGCCATTGAAAGTAAGGCTGAGTTTGGAAGGAATACAAATGCAAATATGCAGAGTGCAAAATCTTATATTTTGTATATATTTACGCTGTACATATTTGCATTTGTACTGCTTCCAAAATGAGCTTAAGGGATAAAAACATGAGTGTCTCTTGTTCCATAATCTAGATAGCAAATTTAGTGTGAACGGGGTTCAACTAAAGTCCCCATCAATCACCAACTAGATAACAAGGAAAAGAAGGGCCTATGCTATGGAAACTTTGGGCATAAAAAGAAAATGGAGATCCTATATGGACGACAGCAAAATCACACTTAGTAAGTATACTATTGTGAGTTGGGGAATATTGTGTGTGTGTGTGTTGGTAGTATTGGGCCACCAGTGGGGAGCACAATCTCCATCTGCATGTGCCTCAACCACTCCTGTCCGGAGCCAACAACGCGGTATTGGACCCCCTATATTTCCTTATAAATACCGAACCTGTCTTTCTTTCGCATTCCATGGTTTTGTAACTTAAAGACATCTTCTATGGCTACTTGTAGAATTTTCAGCGTTATTTTCTTTGTTTTGTTATGTGTAGGCATATGTTCTGCTGCTAGAGCCCTCCTTACTTTCGAGGAAGGAACAGGCTATCCTGGCTATGGCAATGGCCATGGCATTGGTGGTGGCTTGGGCTATGGTGGCGGAGGTGGTGCTGGTTATGGGGGAGGAGTTCCAGGAGGCTATGGGGGTGGTGGAGGCTCTGGCAGTGGTGCTGGCTACGGAGCCGGCGTGGGAGAACATGGTTTTCCTGGTTATGGTGTAGGGTATGGTAGTGGTGGAGGTGGAGGTGGAGGTGCTGGTTATGGCGCTGGTGGAGAACATGGAGGTGGCTATGGTGGTGGTGGCGGTGGTGGTAGTGGTGGTGGTGGTGGTGCTGGCTATGGTGCTGGAGAAGAACATGGTGCCGGTTATGGTAGTGGAAGTGGTAGTGGTGGTGGCATTGGCTATGGTGCTGGAGAAGAACATGGTGCCGGTTATGGTAGTGGAAGTGGTAGTGGTGGTGGCATTGGCTATGGTGCTGGAGGAGAACATGGCGGAGGTCATGGTGGTGGTGGTGGTAGTGGTGGTGGGGTTGGCTATGGTGCTGGAGGAGAAGGAGGTGCCGGCTACGGCAGTGGAAGTGGTAGTGGTGGTGGCATTGGCTATGGCGCTGGAGGAGAACATGGTGGGGGTTATGGTGGTGGTGGTGGTAGTGGTGGTGGGGTTGGCTATGGTGCTGGTGGAGAGCATGGAGGCTATATACCTTACTATGGTGGCTATAGTGGTGGAGCAGAACATGGGAGTGGGTATGGTAGTGGTAGTGGGAGTGGTGGTGGTGGTGGCTATGGTGCTGGTGGAGAGAACGGCGGGGGTTATGGAGGTGGTGGAGGATCTGGTGGTGGTTCTGGCTATGGTGCTGGAGGAGAACACGGTAGTGGCTATGGCAGTGGTAGCGGCAATGGTGGTGGTGCTGGCTATGGTGCCGGTGGCGGTGGAGAGCATGGTGGTGGATACAATAGTGGTGGCTATGGTTCAGGAGAACATGGAGGTGGTTATGGCAATGGTGGTGGTAATGGCGGTGGTGCTGGTGAAGAGCAAGGTGATGGTTACGGTAATACCGGAGGAACTGGCTATGGCATTGGAAGTAAACATGGTGGTGGCTATGGAGGTGGTGGAGGAAGTGGGGGAGGTGGTGGCATTGGCTATGGTGCAGGAGGAGAGCATGGAGTTGGCCACGGTAGTGGTAGTGGAACTGGTGGAGGTTCAGGATATGGAGCTGGTGGTGAACATGGTGCTGGTTATGGCGGCGGTGGTGGCGGTGGCTCCGGAGGTGGTGCTGGTTATGGAGCAGGTGGGGAACATGGAGGCGGATATGGAAGTGGAAGTGGTGCAGGAGGAGGTCATGGTGGCTACGTTCCATGAGAATGGCTTCAAATTGGCCAGTCAAGTTATCACTCTCCTTACAAATAGGAGGAGTGTGATAGTAATAATAAACTTAGAGTATTGGTACAAATATATTGTGAGCAAGAACTTATCAGCGAAATTAGGTGTCTTAATTAAATAAGATGCTATCTTCTTGTCGTCGCCTCGTCGATGTATTTACGTGTGATGGTCTTGATTCTTGGGCTCTTGGGTACCCTTTTGAGAGTCCTTAATTTGCATGGAACGTTTGAATTAATGCTAAATGTCTGTCGTTTTTTAATGGAGACTATATATGTTCTTTCGGTTTTGTTTTTATTTTGTCTTTTGTTTTGGAGAATGTTCTAACTTCCTTTTCAGTTATTAAGTATTGTGTTGTACTTAATTTTCAATAGTTGGTTGGTGAGCAAGAACCAAGAACAGGGTGCCTACTGTACTGATGATAGCTTCTCTGTCACTTCTTCTGTCTTCTATTACAGTAATACTGTCTTGCTTTTAGCGCGCATGAGCTAGGAAACTAACTGAGCCACTTTCTTAGTGCGTTAGAAAGTCTGACTAGAGATTACATGGTGGGATCTTTAGTCGGTTGGTCCCCAGACCCCACCATATATAAAGGGTCTCTTCAACTTCATTCAACCCTTCAACCAAATCAAAGAGGTGGGAACCATTACTGGTAGATGGTTGAGGAAATTAATGATGCTTTGTCAATTTGGATGAATGTCTCTGCAGGGATTTTCGATCCATATTTAAATTTCTGTTTTGAATATAATCTGGAAACTAAAATGAGAAACTGCCAGTAGCCTGGATGGATCAGAGTTTCCATCTAAATGGTTAAACAATCCAAAGAGTCCATCTCCACCTGGTCAGATATTTGGGGAGTTTAACTTGCCGAATTCATTATTCTATATAACCTGTTTATGAGTAGATTAGTTTTTCATATATTTCAAAATTCATATTTCTATTCTACAAACATTTGAGTTAAAAAAAAAAAGTCATACATTTTTGCTAAACTTTTCACTCAATACTTCTAGCCTTTCTGTCAAAAAAATATGCAAAGTTCATTGTAATACGCATTCTACATAAATTTTCCAAGGTTGACCCCTTAACACAATGAAACAAGGGATCCATGCACGGTTCTGAACCAATTCAGCATATGGGTTGGATTTGGGGCCTAAAGACGATCTAAGATGGCTCTGTAAACAAATTGTTGCCAGTCGGGGAGAGAGAGAAACCTTTCTTTAATCTATATGGGTTGTTCTACCAGAACATTGTACATATCAATTAAGATAAGGATAACTGTACTAATTAGGATCAATATTTGGGAAAATTGCTGAAACCTCCCACAAAGTTTGGTAATTGCCATCATCTCCCTTGAACTTTCTAACAGTTGCAAGGAGACTCCCTCTATTAGAATCCTCTCCTATAATAAGAAGCATGTAAATGTCCAAAATACCCATTCAGTTCCTATTGAGCCTGGTTTCTACAAGAAAAAAAAAACAATACAAACGTTATGAACAACAAAATATAAAATGTTTAAGGTTTCAGCTTTACCTTTGAGCAATTGGTATAAAGGGTAAATTTGGAAAATATATCAATTTCATAAAAGAGACAATAAGGGTTTGGGGTGTGATTGATATGAAGAGAAAATTTTGAAAATAAACATTTTGGTCAAAAAATAATTGCATGGGTATTTTGGACATTTTCATGCCTCCTGTTAGAGGATTCTGGTATAGGATGTCTACTTGCAACTGTGTCATAAAGTTTAAGGGAGGTGATTGTAATTTGAAAACTTCAGCGGAGGTTTCAACAATTTACCTATATTTTTTAGCCCAAAGTATAATACATATATACATATATAAGAAGGAAAAATCTATGATATTGGAAAAACATGGTACAAAAGAGCTTTGACCAATCAAAACACCCTATGAATTTTGATGAATACCACCTGATCTTTTATCATACTGGTTCATTGATTGTAAGTTTTTCCACTGTCATATCTTATAGGTATCATATAAGAAGGTTTTATAGATTTTCTGGAAAACTTACCCTTTAAGTATTAGCTCTTTTGTGAATCAGAGAACCAAATTTCTTACTCATTGGGAGAATGGGAGTGCAAATTTTGCATCTCAAAAATAATGCGAAATTTCCACCACCTTCCACCTACTTCAATTCTCTTTCATATGAAGTGGGGACCACATCATCCAGCTCCCTTCCTCACAAACATCATTTTGCTTCTTATTTTACTCCACACAAACAAATAAGGCAAAGTCAAATTTGAAGGAGATCCAACAATTTGTGAATAGGAGATCCAAAGTGCATTTAAAGCAAAAGTAAACCAGATTTTTCATTCAGCCTATTTGCACTCTTATGCATTTACACTAGTTGAGCCTTAGGAGTACAAATACAAATATATACAAAATATAAGGTTTTATACTCTACATATTTGTATTTGTACTCCTTCCAAACTGAGCTTAGTTTGGAAGGAGTACAAATATAAATATGTAAGAGTGCAAATACACATATAATAATACAAAATATAAAAGTTTTTCACTTTACACATTTATATTTGTACTCTTTCGAAACTGAGCCTTAGCATTTAAGCAGCACTGCATATTTTCCTTAAAGAAACTAGAAAGATCATCATTAGCATCAAAATTGGTTAAAGACCTGATAGTGGTAGGCAAAGGACGTCTCTTTCAGTCCTCTACAAAGCTGGACACAACTGACTGGCAATCTAGTGGCTGAGAAGATCCAATTGGCAGCCATTCATAGTCCTTATGGTGGGAAGAGAAATTCTGTATGGTCCCCTCCCTCGTCATTAAAAAGAGTAGTTGTTAACATCAAGGTCTCAAAAAGGCCAGAGGTAACAGTTGAAACTCAAAAGAGAGGCATAAAGCTTAAGACATACCTCAAGATATCACTAAATTCAAGTGTAATCCTATAGGTCAATTGGTATATGGCAAAATCTATGGTGCAAAAACTGCACTGTAAAACAAAAACATAACTAGTGGAAAGTGAGACATTACAAGTGATATATTTAACATTATTAACGTTTTATTGTGATTGGTAATTACATAACATGTTTAATATGATTGGTTTTTCTGATTTATTGGGCAATTTTTGCAGGACTCTATAAGGATTAATTACTTGAAAGCGGTTCATATCTTTAACCAATAAGCTTTTTTTAGAACACCTAAGTTTAGTCCAGGTGGAGGGGCAGCCCCCTTTAAATTTTATTAACCATTGTCAAAAGGGAGGAATCTTAGGCCATGTTTGGGGCTGTTTAAAAATAAGTGCTTATTTGTTTCATTAAGTACTTATTGGTATTTTGGGAAATAAGTCCATAAGTGCTTATTTTAAAAATAAGGACTTATTTTTTAAGCTCAAATTTCTATCTTTTTTAAGTGTTTAACAAAAAGCACTTATTCAATTTTTTTCTTCCAAAATTATCCCTACTTGAATTTTATAAAAGTACTCTTATGAAAGCATTTTTACAAAAGTACTTTTCCGAAAGCACTTTTAAGAAAATGCTTTTATGAAAGCACTTTTATGAAATTACTTTCGTAAAGTGCTTTTATAAAATTACTTTCTAAAAGTGCTTTTGTAAAAATACTTTTATAAAAATATTTTTGTAAAAATACTCTTATAAAAGTATTTTTGTAAAAGTTCTTTCATAAAAATATTTTTATAAAAGTACTTTCATAAAAGTATTTTCCAATGAATATTTTTCCAAGAAGGATTTTTACTAGACATTTAGGCCATGTTTAGTTCACTGTCACTGGCTTCATTCTTTTAATTCTTGCCCATTTTGAAAAAGAATGGGCAAGAATGAATGAGATACAGGTGTTTGGCTAATCATTTCTTGCCGCAAGACTCATTCTTCCCAAAATGAAATTTGGGTCTCAGCAAAAAATCTAATATATTTTGTGGCACGAAAATTTTTCATGCTCCATCTTACCAATTCTTCTTTTGTTCAAGTTTGAAACTCGAATCCTCTCGGCTAAAGTCACTAAACCCTCGTCCCCCCTCTCTTTCTCTCTATACAAGGTAAAGTTGAGATTGATCTCGATCTTTTGAAGTCCTAAAGCTAAGATCGACTCTCTCTCTCTGTACCAGGTAAAGCTGAGATCGATCTCAATATGTTGAAGTCCTAAAGCTAAGATCGATCCAAAGAGCTCAAAACCAAGGTAATCTCTCTCTCTCTTCTTCTTCTTCTTCTTCTTTCTCGTCTTCTTCTTCATCTCTCTGTGATGGATACCTCCTCTTCTTCTTCTTCTTCTTCTTCTTACTCTGTTTTTCCCCTTTTAGGTTGACCACCAATATCAGTCCTATAACCATTAAGAGAAAGCAGCATCGATTAAGGTAATTACTTGAAAATGAGAAAATTACAGTGTCAATTTTACATATGTTGTTTTCACGATGCTAAGACGTTTCATCCAAAGGATTGATCAGATTCGTTTTACAAACTTACTCGAGTTCCTTGTTGGAAGACATGGCGTTGGATGTGTTACCTCCTCTGTGAAAAGTTGTTTGTATTTTTCTTTGTTTTTTGTTCACAGAGTGCTCAAATGATCATTTAGCAAAAACAGAGAGTGCTCAAATGATCATAGAGATCCAAGTGGTTAAAGAGAGTGTGCAATTTTCACCCAATTAGAAACCTTGCCACCAAGACCGGATAAGGAAGAATTGGTGTGGTATGAGAGAATAGTCTTGGATTTTATGTCCATACAATTTGGATCCAGAATTTCATCAGAAAGGTGCATTAGTTTTGTGAAAAGCATTTTCATTGACTATTCTTGTTGAAGAACTACAGCATTTATGTGACGAATTTGGTGAGGGTAGTTAAAATATCATATATCCCCTCTTCATGATTGAAACTAATATTATTGACTAAGGTTAACTTGTCTATTTTTTATTGGTTGTCCTATGGATATTTTCCTATTTAAATAATGTGATATATTGCTCTTTCCATGGCCAAACAAAATAAGGAAACAAAAATGGTAGCTATTGTTTATAGAGAAAAGATAGTCTAATTGAACCTTCTAGATTGGCCATTTTTTCCAGGAAGAAAGATGATACTGCCAAAATTGTTTTGCATCCTTTAGTTATCTAGAGTAGTCTAGACTTTGATGGTTGACTATGAATAGTGTGCTATGCTAGGATTTTGAGAGTGTAAAGGCTGTTAGTTGACTGAGGAGATAAGATTTATCACAGAATTGCTTGCAACACAGAAGCTGTAGACTTCCAAATGCAGCCTTTAAATTATTTTCAGTCCCTTGTCTCCACCATTCCATGTATTGGAACTATTACTGAATTGATGCTTAAGCATCATGAAGATTGTTAGCTTGTTAAGATCTTTTTCCCTTTTACTTTTTACCTTCAGTTGGATGACTGAAGAGATCCAGATGTGTGCCATAGCTATTGTCTAGAGAAGGACCATTGTCCTATGCCATAACAAATTCCATCTTATAGCCAAAACCCAGTGAGTTGCGGTCCTTGAATATCCTAAGAGAGAAGGTTGTAGAGATAATAGCACACCAAGCAAGTAGGGGATGCCTACATAGAACCCTTCCCATGTTGTTGAGTGGCAAATGATGCTACGTGTCATTGAATTGTTGACTTGTAGGGTTGATGTTCACATACAATTGCCTGTTGCATCAGAACTCAAGCACACAAACTTACCAGCCTCATCAAGGAAAAGAAAACAGGATCAATGAAGTTAAAGAGCTTGCTTCTAAAAGCTAGATAGGATTAGAAGCATAAACATGGTGGTAGGTGAGAGAAAGATCATAAACAGACCCCATCTTTCATTTGTGCATATATAGGTGTATTAGCAGTAACTTGTCTTTAGTGATTGATTTATCTGAGAAATCTGGTCTTTCATAGGATCAAGCAGCATCAAACGTGAATGTACTATGACATCCACTTGGTTGAATGTATTTGAAAATTGTGGCCTTTAGGCAATTTGTTGGTGACAACAAAGATGCCTTTTTTTTGTCCCCGCCTCCTTTGAAAATAATAAAACTAAAAAATGATGCCAAGGGAGAAGCAACTGGGTTGACTAGAACTATTTGACCAAGAATAATCCCAAAAGTGGTGAAAAGATATTTCAGACATGAAAGAACACAACCGAGGAAAGAAAAAACAACTACTATATGTTAGTAACTTACCAAGTGAAGACATCTAGATCTCTGATCACAAAAAGCAGGTCACCTTTCACCTTGGTAGTGAAACAGGCATTACAATCCCCTTAAAATAGTAAAATGTTCCACCATTTCTATCTTGATATTGAGTAAGGCCTTTTTCCCACACATTGTAAAGGAAATGGAAGATGAACCTGCTTTTCATCATCCTCAATCCTAATCTTGTATAACAACCACTGCCTTGATAAATGATTATTTAATGAGTTGCATGAAGCTCCAGATTGTTGGATATCTTCTCTGCTTAATGAGGTGTAGGTTCTAAAATAATGGCCTACATGAAGCACCTAAACAAAAGCATTGCCTATCAACATTCCTCCATTCTAGAATTGATTAGTAAAGTGAAAAAAAAAATGTACAAATTTGTAAGCAAACATATCTCATACAGAATTTGAGTAGTTGCTTTAGTGGAAAAGCCTACCTCTCCCTTGAAAGGGGTTAGTTTTATTTCCTCATTATCAGCTTCAACATGTAATGGTCTACATATTTTTCTAGTATACAAACAAATTTTTGAACAAATTGTATTTACATATAATTAATTACTTTCACAATTCACATGGTCCTCTAATAGCTATGTTACACATCTGGATCTCTTCAATCAGCCAACTGAAGGTAAAAAGTAAAAGGAAAAAAAGGTCTTAACAAGCCAATAGTCTACATGATGCTTAAGCATCAATTCAGTAATAGTTCCAATACATGGAATGGTGGAGACAAGGGACTTAAAATAATTTAAAGGCTGCATTAATTTGGAAGTTTGCAGCTTCTGTGTTGCAAATATTAATGATCTACATGCCAAAAGGGTGATATCAATTGCCATCTTGGAAAAATTGTTTTACAACAGTATGATAATACAAATTTAAGCTTCAAAATATAGATAAAGCTAATCTGGTCGGTCAAGACTGTTAGTTGAATGAGGAGATAAGAATTATCACAACCGATGAATCTGAGATAAGTCTAACAGTATTTTGTATGTGTACTCTTTCCAAACTGAGATTAACTACAATGTAATTAGGTAGCTAGTTCAAATGATTATATACAGTTATGCATCGGTGTTGCCTTTTCTAGTTGGTGAGCAAATGTATAAGTGAGGTCATTACCTTTTCTAGTCAATATTGTGACTCTATTCAGTCTTTGTAAAGTGTAACATGATTAGGATTGTATCCAGAAACCTTTAGTGCTTCTCCTAAGTAAGGCCTTTTGTTTAATTATTTAACTCATTTAGTGATTTTTAGCTATCAGAAACCTTTAGTATTAATTAGGACTAATACATTGTATGTTCTCCAAAGCTATTAGAAACCTTTAATGCCATATAGTGTTATCAAATGCATCTTAATTCAATAAGATTATGCTCATGATTTTTTTTTTTTTTTTGAAAACCATGTTCATGGTTATTTTTGTTTGTATATTGAGATGAATTATTTATCTTTAAATTTCCTTGTAAGCAAGTAGTATGGATGCATTTTTGTGTAATGGATATGTCACATTTATGTTCAATTTTAATTATATAGAATATAAAATTTAAGAAAAAACTGTATAATTTTATATGTTTGTATTTATTGTGTTTTAGGTAAATATTATGTAGCGGATTTAGGTTTCACCACCATTACAGGATTTTCCACCCCATTTAAAGGTGATTGTTATCATTTGCAAGAATATAGAACAGTGAGACGACGACCGAATGATGCTTGTGAACTATTTAACCTTCATCATTCATCATTTTGTAATGTAATAGAACGATGCTTTGGAGTGTTTAAGGAATGTTTTCAAATTTTGAACCACATGAAGCCTTACAGTATTAACACACAAAGGCGTATAACCATTGCATGTTGTACACTTTATAATTTCATTAGGCAAGAGACATTACTTGATCAAGAAGATCCATTGTTCGGAAAATATGAAAATGAAGAAGCTATCAGAGATAGCAACACAATTGCATCATCAAGCACACAAACACTAAACTTAAGGGTTTGTTTGATTGCTGAGAAAATTGGACTGAGAAAGGATGGGATGAGAAATGTTGGGATGAGAAGAGGAAAATTTATTTTCTCAGTTAGTTATAATGTGTTTGTTTGCTGAGAAAATTTTTGTTAGAAAATCCACTCTCTAGTGTTGTTTTGCAAGAAAATTTATAGGAGAAAATGGTTGAGCTTCCAGCCATTGAGGGAAAAACATGGGGTTGGGGAAAAAAGAATATAATAATAAGAGTCTTCGATCAAACTAAAAGAGTAGGATGATCTTATTTTCCAGATATTGTTAAAGATTTGTTCAATCCTTTCGGTTGCAAGATTAAACAACATTTTCAATGTCTGGACTTGTGGAATATCCTTCACCAATAACGCCTTTTTCTAGATAAGAGTCTGTTGATGCCTTTTTCTCTGATCGTTGTGAAGACGCTCTTCACCAACGACGCCATCGCATGGCAAGCTGTGGTAGAGGTGCCGTCGTAGACAAACGCGGCGACGCGGGACACGGGCGACCGACCTTACGCCATCGCATGGCGTGCTTTGTCGATACCCTCTTCTCTTTGCTTTTGATTTTGGGAAGGTCGGTCGCCCRCGTCCACGTTCGGCTGCGATTGGGAGGAGTAAGGTCGGTCTCCCTCTTCTGTTGTGCTCTGCAATGGTGATTTAGGGTCGGGACGTGGGCGTGGTGCGTTAGGGTCTTGGCGGAGGGCGTGGAGTGGGGGTTCAATACAGAGGCGGCGCTTCCGGTGGCGACGCTCAGCAGCAGCCTCCTCCGCTGAGGAGTAAGCGAATGAGCGAACAAAGAGGAGGTTATGGTTGGGATGCTGCAGGAGGATGTGGTGATGATCGGCGGCGGTGGTGGAGGTGCTGATAACAGGAAGAAGATGGTTAGTGGTGGAGAGGGAGAGGAGATGATCGACTTCTTGCTCTGACAAAGCCCGAGCAATTTTCTTAGCGTTTTCTTTTCTCATCGGGGTCGCACTGTTTTGGTGCGACCCCGCTCACTTAATTTTGGGATCCCGCATCTCTCTTGTTTCTCATCCCAAAATACTGTTTACCAACAAACAAACACAAGAAAGGGATAATCATTCGGGAATATTCCCTTTTCTCATCCCTTTCTCAGTAAACAAACAGAGCCTAAGTGCTCGTGATCAAAATGAAAATGTTAAGGATTGATATTGCTAACCAGTTGGTCGATAAACATGGATATGAATGACTTTCAACATGTTGATAAATAAATTTAATGAAACTAATAGATATTTTATACTTTTTTGTATTATTCATTTTGATGTTATACATTGCTTCTTTTCATTTTTTATATATATTTTTAATGCAACAAACTACAAAAGCTTCTCAAGTTTTTTGGTCCTTTTTCATATTGTGTTATTAACATGGGGCCCACATGATTCCATGATTTATATTTTCCATCAAGTGTTCTATGTAGGGGTGTCAATTGGACTGAATTTGGTCCAATCTGATCCAATCCAATGTGAGTACATTATAAATGGACCATGTCTAATCCAATCCAATGAATATTTTGGACCATTTTGGATCGGCCCAATTCAATGTTTAGATTGTCCAATCTGTTCAAATTCGTTTTGATTTAGATTGGTTTCAAATCAAACCCGGTCCATCGGCACCTATATTCTTACCTTATATCAATGGACCAGATATTGGCTTAATCCAACTCAATCTAATATAAATTTTTATTACGGATGGATTAGATGGTCCAATCCAATCTAATAAATTAGTCCAATCCAATATGTCTTGTTGGTCCATCCAATCCGTCTAAATTGATTTTGGATTGCATGGGGTCTAATCCAAAACCAATCCATTGATACCCTTATATTATTATTTTGATTAATGAAAAAATGAATGAGAATGAAATTTGTAACCAAATTTACTCTCATTCTTGCTGTAAAAAAAAAATCATTTTTTGGGAAAAAAACGCTTGGTTCGTAGCAATATTTTTTCATTCTTCCCATTTTTACTCATTTTTTCCATCTTGGAATTTCATCTTTGATAAGAATGAGAAAGAATGAGAATTGAACCAAACATGGCCTTATTATCACTCTAGCTCCAATTCTACCTCCCATATTCCTTTAGATAGAAATAAATTAAGCCCATCACAAAGAGCCAAATCTTCAGCAAGAATTGAATACCATCACCATAGTAGTTACGAAAACAAAAAAGAAAAGCACCAGAACCATTTCTCACAACACCACTTCCTCKGCTTACACCCAGATTCCCACAAAAAGCTCCATCAACGTTTAGGTTGAACAAAAGGATAGATGAGGATTGCCAATATATCCAATGAATAGTGATCCTCCTAACATGCTTGATAGGAATATGAAGAACATTTAAGATAAAAGTGTTGCTTTTAGAGGATGGGCTTGCACGAATCAAGTTTAAATTCATAAGGCACTTGTTGTTCCTTCTAATGATTGTTGGTGCAGGGGCTCCTTTCCCTTCAAATCTTCAACTGCATTTTTCTTTCCATATCAACCATATTATAATCGAGGGGAGGATTTTAAAGAAATGATGAACTTGAGAGTCATTGTTAGCAAGATTCCTCCACATATAAATTATTGGAACATTGAAGAGGCCACTATAATATCTCCATACTTTAAAAGCCACCGCAACAACAACATTTGGAAGCTAGCTGGATCCCTTTCTTCATAATCACATCATCAAGAGGTAATGCACCATGAAGAAATTTCCAAACAAAAATGGATACTTTAGTAGGAAGGCCCACTTTCCAAATATACTGAAACCAACTTACAACGTTATCATGGATCCTAATGAGATTCCAAACTAAAGAAACAGAAAAACCACCATTTGGGTTTATGTTCCAAATGAGCTTATCATCTTCATCATTGAGAGTGACTCTCAAATTTTTAGCTAAATCACAATGAATTGAGGAATAGAATCAATCAACTCAAAGCACCAATCACCATTAACACTTAGAACTTGGTTGACATTGAAATCTTGAACCTGCTCATTATCTAATTCAAAAATAAGAGGGCAAAGATCAGTCCAATTATCATACCAAAATGAAATTCACCTTTCCCACTCAACCATTGGCAATGAAGAAGAGATGTGTCTTTTAATTCAAACATATTTTGCCAAAATCTTGAACTAACTCTTGGTTTTGAAAGAAGAAGATGAGGGGTTGATTTAACATATTTGGAATATATGAAGTTAGCCCAAATGCTACTCTTCTGAATAAGTCTAAACTATACTTTAAGCATAAAAGCTTTTAATATATCATAAAGAGATTTGATACCAGGACCCCCCTCCTTAAGAGGTTTACAAATTTTGGCCCAACCAATCCAATGCATTTTGTTTCCATGAACAGTGGCTCCCCACAAAAATTTAGAAAAAATAGAATGAGTTTTGTTTATAACTGCTTTCGGATGTAAAACCACACTAAGAATACGTATCGGCATTGATTGGAGAACATGTTTTATTAGAATCAATCAACCTCCTGAAGACAATAACTTTCCTTTCCACTCTTCAACTTTATTTTTAATTTTCATCACTAAAGGCTCAACATCAACAATTTTCAACCTTTCGAAACCAATAGAAGCTCCAAGAAATGTAAAAGGAATTTGCTTTTACTTAAATCTGGTGACATTCTTGATCATATTGATTGTCAAACTATGCATTTTTTAGTGCACTATAAAGCAAGATTTCTTTTTACTTACTAGTTGACTAGAAACTTTTTCATACATAGAAAGAAAAGACTTGAGATTATAAGGCCTCATTTCTCTCCTCTAGAAAAGATCATTATATCGTCTGCAAAAAGACTATGAGAAATAGGCATACAACCCCTTCGAAGAGCATAGTAAGGAACCTAAGCATTTCTATAAATAGCATGAAGGCCTCTACTTAGCACTTTCTCAACATGGATAAAAATACTAGGAGAGATAGGGTCACCTTGTCTCAAGCCTCTTGTAGAGTGAAAGTATCCTTCTGGAGAACCATTGATCATCACAGAGAACCAACACATACAAATGCAGAGCCTCACCAAATTAATCCATATGCTATTGAAACCAAATTTATGAAGGATAGTGAATATAAAATTCCAATTCATCCTATCTTAAGCCTTTTCCATGTCCAATTTGAACATAACATTACCACGCCTTGATTTTCTAGTAATTTCAATAGCCATTTCCTAAACAATGCCAATATTATCACCAATGCTCCTCCCTTTAATAAAAGCACCTTGCTCCAAGGAGATTAACCTTGATAAGATAGTTGAAAGCTTGTTTGTGAAAATTTTAGCATAAACCTTGTAGCAAAAATTGCATAAACTTATAGGTCGGTAATCCAAAAAACTCTTAGGGGTATCCTTCTTTGAAATCAACACAATAAAAGTGGAAATATAATATCTAGGGAGAGATTTAGTGTAAAAAATTTCTCTAATGGAATTACAAACATCTCTTCTAACAATATCCCAACAATGAGTGAAGAAACTTCCACCAAAACCATCATGCCCATGGGCACTTTTAGGGTTCATAAAGAAGACAGTTGACTTTATTTCATCCAAAGATGGAACTCAAGTAAGAAACAAATTGTCATCATTGGAAACCAAGAAAGTTATAGTATCAAATAATAGTCATGCATTTCACTTCCTTCATAAAATAAGTAGTTATTGGTTAAGTGTCTCTTCTATCCAAGGATTAAAGTATCAGTATTGGGTATCATATTGGGCAACTTGGATACGGATACGCTTGGGAAGCGCATGGGAATGGACGAAAAAACCTGGAAACACTTGGATACTCTAAGAAAATGCACACAAATTCCATAAATATATTAATGGCATTAAGTTTAATGTCAAAACAACTATAAATAATATATAAATATATAGGAATTGTATATTTAAATATATAAATATATATATATATATTTAAATGATATATATACATACATATGAAGAAATATATTATAATTAATATAATAGGACATGTAGATATTATACAATTTTATTAATAATGCTTCAATCAAGAGTCCAAGGCAAATATTATATAGATTTTTATAAATTAATACATGCAAAAAGCCAATATTATTTTATCATCTATTAAAGTGTAAGGCATAAAGCATATGCAACTATTATATTYAAATTATTATGTCATTTTTTTCTAATTTACTACTTTTATTTTTTAACATTAACAAAAAACTCAACCAAAAAATTAATTCTTAAATGTTTGATAAATAAAATTTATATTTTTGTAAACAATAAATATGTTATTATAAATGTAAATTAAAATATCAATTAATAATTTATAAAAATATATAATATTAACTTAAAATATATCAAATCTATTAAAATTTTGAAAATGCATATCATATGAAAATTCATAAATTTTAATTACTAAAATAATTATTCCATTATTAATATTTTATTTTTATAAAATTTGGAAGTAAAAAATTATTTTTATATAAAATGTAGATCAATGGATTTGATAGATTCAATTTATATTATATTTTCAAATACTTTGTAAACAATACTTTATTTTGTAAATAATAAAAACATTGTTATTTAATGCAAATTAAAATATTAATTAATAATTTATAAAAATTTAAGATATATACCATATGCAAATTTGTAAAATTTAAGTATTAAAATAATTATTCTATTATGAATATTTTATTTGTATATATTTTGAGATTAAAATTAATTTTTGACATATATATAATACTGATTTTGAATATTGTTCTTTTTAATTTATAATTGAAGTTTTTGAAATAAATGCATGTTGTTTTTTATTTGCATGTAAACATTAAGTTTAATAAAAAATATTTTATTACACATATTAACATGAAATAACAAATGGCTTTGTGGTTAACGTTGAATGTTGAATGTTGAAAAGCATACCCCTAATGCTTGTTCGTTGCTTCTTAACATTGAATTTTGAAAAGCATTCATGCATTTTAAAAGGAAATTAGAGCGTTCAGTTGCATTTTTTAATTTCAGCCTTAACGTCTAATCCATCATTTATTTTCTCATGATTTCTTTTTTAACTTTCCARAAAGTACCCCCAAAAGCTTTCTCCTTTTGTGTATGCTACAATTTGAAAACCCTATGTATGTTATTTAATTATTTATTATATAGTAATATTTATTTTATTATTCATTATTTTAATTAATTAATTGTAAAATGCATAATTATTAATTGTTAATTATTCAATTAATTAATTAATTAACTAATAATTATATAATTATTTTTGTTAAAATATTTATTAATTAATAATTGATTAGTTCTTTAAAAATATTTAATTATTTATATTTTTATCAACTCCATAATAATAATTATTATTAATTATTTAATAATTATGAAAAATAATAATAATTTGTCATTATTATTATTATTATTATTATTATTATTATTATTATTATGAGTAGTAGTAGTACTATATAGGAATAAATTGCTTAATTGATTTGTAAAATTTAAAACAATGTTTCTCACACGTCCAGTCAAAATAGTCAATTGCTACTTTTTCAGAAGTCAAACTTTAGAGTTTAAATCAACATGATGGGCTAAATGCTGAAATCTTAAAGTGCACAATAAACCTGCACTTTAGTAGCATTTGGTTCACTCTTTAATCTTAAACCTTAATGTATAGATCATACCAATTTTTTCAATAATATTATCAAAACAATGATATTAACAAAAAATAATAAAATTAATGATAAAATACTAGAAACAATATTAAATATTAACACATTAATAAAAATAATAAAATAATAAAACCATTTTATAAGTAATATTTACTATTTATTAAATGCTCATTTATTCAATTATTTTTAATAATTATTTACTAATAATTAGATCTAGTTATCGGGTCGGGTCAAGCTCGAATTGGATTATTAACTTAATTAATTTGTTAAATATGTAAACAACCTTTCTCATATTAGGGTCTAAATGGTCAATTATCATTTTTTAAAGCTCAATATTTCAAATAACATTCTTTAAATTCATAATTCAGAAAAAAAAATACATTTCTTAAAATAATTATTACAGCTTTAAAGACATTTAGTCTAAAATCCTAAACCTGTTTGAGATAGTGTATGATTTTGATAAGCGGTTTGATTGGGGACCCTAATCTATATTTATACTATCTAAAAGAGTGAATGTCCCTCTTCTATATAGAATTTTCATTGGATGTTTTCTACCCCTTGTGTAAAGATAGAGTAGACATAAAGATGGCATAGATGTTTTTACTCTCACTTAGTTAATTTTGTCTTAGATATAATGTCACTTGCACATTTACTAATTACTACAAAATTGTCGTCCCTAAATTAGGAGTCTGACTTTCGAGCAGCCTATACATCCTTCCTTGCATTGCCAATATCTCCCTAATTATGTTCTTTACTTCGTGGCGATTCTCGATGCAAGGTTGCAAAAGGCAAGATGCTGTTGTGACGGTGTGAGTACGGACTTCCCTTGACCGAAGCCGATACCCTAGAATTAAATCCGTTTGCATCCCTTTCAATGAGTCCGAATCTCAGAGGATTTTCTGGCCGCACATCGGAAAACATCTCCCATACTCATTTTTATTATCTGGGGAGATGTTCCCAATTCAGGGTGGGATGTGGATGTATAAGGTTGGTGTGAGGCGCGCTCTGTCAAGAACAGATCCCAATTCCTTGCAATGGTGTGTGGTCGTGTGGAGTGTCGACTATGCGATGAATTCGTACTCGCCGGACTCTGAGAGCTCATAATTAAATTGCGATTAGTCTACATTTCAAATCCGCATTCCATCATCTCAAGTCTCAACTCAAGTCTAACTATTTCCCTTTCTCGTCTTCAGCCTGAGAAAAAAAAAAAAACTGACGATTGCATCCTCCAGACTGCACCAGACATTCACCTTGAACATTCCAACCTCATTCTAACAGGATTTTTCAGGATTCTTTTTCAATATTTCCGTGACAAGTTTTACATTCCCTCGCTTTTTAAGATGGTCGATTCGGTTAAAATGCTCGAGGAAATGTCTTACGATGATTGATGAATTTCTGGCTGATCAATCTCAAAACCAGGAATATTCAATGCTCGATCTCTTTCTGGAACTCGTTCCAGGAATGACCTTTCCAGAAATCGATTAGCAGGAGTTTGACGGGAATTTCACGCGGGTGTACCCGAGTTCGTGTCAGAACCAAAGATTGATGGCCCAAAGCAACATTCCGGTCAGCGAAGCTTACTGGTTTCTGGTGGACAAAGCCGATAAGAAGTTCTCTAGGGTTAGGGATTTGCCTTGCTATGGTCGGAACAGGTGCGACCTCTCTCATCGCTCCTTTCTCGCTTATTTGTTTTACATATTTGAATTCGAGTAACCTTGTGATCCTATTTCTGTACCAGGTATGACACTTATTTCAATAAGGTCTTTAAGGTCTACACGGAACTTTGGAAATTTCAACAGGAGCATCGGCAGAAGCTAGTCGAAGCGGGGCTCAGGAGATGGGAGATTGGCGAGATTGCGTCTCGCATTGCTCAACTTTATTACGGTCACTATCTCAGAACGAGCGAGGCCAGTTATCTGTCGGAGGCTTATATCTTCTATGAAGCTATCTTGAGCAGGGAGTATTTCAAGGATGGTTCATTGCAGGAGCTCAACTCCGCCAATAAGCAGTTGAGGTGCATCGCCAGGTTCTTGATCGTTTGTTTGATTTTGAATCGGAGAGAAATGGTGCACCGACTGGTCAATCAGCTAAAGATGTCTGTAGACGACTACAAGAGGAATTTCCAGGATGCCGACTTTAAAGAGTGGAAGCAGGTGGTTCAAGAAATAGTTAGATTTCTAAGAGCTGACACAGCTTTTATGAACATAAGGCCTTTAAGATATAGTTTAGTGATTGACACACCTCCAGATTCTTTACCACATGTTGCTTCCTTAGAGGGCAAGAGAAATCTAAAATTGCGAGATGCAATACTGAGTAGCTATCATCACAATGAGGTTGGTTAACACACATGTTTTCTTGTCTTTAAAGTCTCAAAGTAAAACTTTCATTAATTCATAGTCTATCACTGGTTAAAGGCTATTCTTCTCATATTATGCTTTTGGAATTCATGGCTTTCCGCCTTTCTCTTGTATTTGCTTAAATGTTGTTAATCTGGTACACTGTTCATTTTTTTTTTTAAATCTTTCTTTCCCTCTTTCAATCAGGTCAAGTTCACGGAGCTTACCTTGGACGTATTTAGAATGCTCCAGTGTCTGGAGTGGGAACCTAGTGGTTCTTTCTATCAGACAAGTGGAACTCTTGCCAGCGGGAATGCTACTAGCATTGGCCAGAATGGAGGCTCAGGGCCTAATCGGATGAACTATTTGCAAGACATAAGGGACCAATCGTTGGAACCAAACCCACGAAAGGCCATTTTATATCATCCATCTGTTACCCATTTTCTTGCAGTAAGTATGACATGATGATTGTTCTTTCAGGGACATTTTGCCATTGCTTGGTGTTATATATATATATATATATATAGAACATGTGATAGCCTTTGAATTTATGAGTTTGAGTTCTAGATGAATCTGTTTATGAGTATATGATTGGCATTACAATGTTTTCTCCAGAGAACCACATAGTTTATATATGGGCCAGAAACCTTTTTTTTATCAGCGCCAGAAACAATTGTAACTATAATTAATGATAAAGAAGCAACTTACATAGGACACCTTGTGTCCAAGTTTACAAGTTTGTCTTCTAGATGAATCTGTTTATAAATTTATGATTAGTGTTTACAATATTGTTCTCATAGAACCAAATCATTGTACATGGGCCAGAAACAATTGCAAATGGTTAATGATAAAGAAGAAACCTACATGGAACACCTTGCACCCAATTTTATGTGGTAAGTAGTACAAATTTAATTATTTTTTTGAAAGGTAAGCATAAACATTGTATTATTGAAACTTATCATAAAAAAGAACATTGTATTATTGTAGGAAGGGGAACCTCCAAGATTACAAAAGAGACCCCAATGAGATGAGGGGGTGACACCATTGTGTGTTATACACAGCATTAAAAAGTTTCTTTTTTTGTTTTTGTAAAAGTCAGCAGTTTGACCCCACTGATTACATAATGCTGAAACAAGATACCACTAAATTCCTTTTATAGAGAACAACAATTTGCTAGTAAGCTCTCTGCTTCACTTATTATGGCCTACACTTTTTACCAAAGGAATAGACATGCTTCATAATGCCCTTCCAGCAGCTTGTTCCATAAGGTTGAGCGATTGGATTTGTAGTCTAACCCAACTCTGCTTCACCATATTTGCTTTGAATTGTTTTCCTCCAAAAAGCTTCCCTTTTAGAGTCAAAATGCCAAATCCACTTACTTAGCAAAGCAACATTCAAGGAGAATCTAAGGGACACAGTCCAATTCATCCTTTCGACTTGGGCAGACAGATCTGGTTCCAAGACCAAATTTAGCTTCTTTTGATCATCAACCCCTTCCCAAAGGAAATTGCATCTTAATTTCTCAAGTTGATTGATGATCTCTGATGGTCCTCAGAAGAGAGAGAAATAATAAATAGGTAAGTTTGATAAGGCACATTAATTCAGTTAACTTTACCTCCTTCTGAAAGCAAACCTCTCTTCCAGCTCGCTAACTTCCTATTTCTTGCACTGCAAAATAGGGTCCAAATCTCCTTCACTCTATAGCTAGCACCTAGAGGCATTCCCAAATATTTGGATTTTAGGGACCCAGTTCTGCACCCCCAGTGTAGCAGGAAAGTTTCAAATTTTGGTATCAGTGGAAGTGTTGATTGTCCAAATATTGGAAACATGTTGGAAATGTTGGAAATATCATATGTAAATATTGTAAAAATTATAGACATGGTGGAAAAAATATGTAAAAAAATACATAATGATGTTATATGAAATGATAAAAGATGCATGTGCACACCTTTTTAAATTATTATCCTGCTCCAAATCATTAGACAAAGCTAAGAAATTAAGGTTATAGAGAAAAGAATATTTTTTGAAGTTGCCCTGTAAACCTTAAGATTAAAAACTCCATGATAGAATGAGTGAAATCAAAAGTTAAACTCATAAAAAATGTAAATGGTTGTAATAGATCAACCAAATAATCTATTACACACACAAAAAAAAAAAAAAAAAACTAATATTTAACTTCATGTTTGAAATGAATATTGAGATTTCTAAAAGTGGTAACCATGCAAGTTAGGCGGGCAAAAACATTGTTACTCCACACATCTCCAATATTGTCACCAACTTATGTTATATAATACTATCTACTGTACTCCTTATAATGCTGGTAGTGTTCACTGGGAAATATATCGATTCCTGTAAAATTTTATGTTGCTACCCATAGAAGTGCAAATGGAAATATGTCATGGAAACTATGTCTTGTACTCCACATAGTGCTAGTAGTGTTCATTGGGGATATGTTGATTTATGTTTACACCATGATGTCCAAATTAATCCATGCACACATTTTCTTCATATCCTTTTCCAATATAACCCAACTACAAGATTGATTCTTTTTATATCAATAATTAGAAACATTTTATTAATCAGAAAAGATTAAAACAAAATGCTCCAGAAAACTTTAGAGTGGTAACAATGATAATAAACAGCCAAAGGCTGGCAAACTGTTACAAGAGATATCAAAGACTATATGTCAGAAAATTACAAAGGGGCAGTTTGGCAAGTCTTTTTTGGGAAGATCTTCTGGTAGCTCTGACAGTCAAAAGATGCATTGAGCTTTTGCATTAAGATCTGAGCAGCCTGAAGCCCGTTTGGTTAAGGTGTGTCTTTCCGCATGAAGACGAATAAAATAAAAAACAAAAAAAAGCGCAAAAGCTCCATTTGGAGCTTCCCGAAAATCGCCTGTTTTGGGCTTCTCGCGTCTTTTCGGCGCGTCGGCTTTTGGTGGCTAGATCTACCACGAACCAAATGGGAAAAGACTGAATTGGGGCCTGCCGGGCTTGTAAATAGCTGACAGACCATGCGGAAAGTGGCGCCAAACGGGGCCAAACTTTTTCCCTATGCCTGGCATTACCTATTCTGAGGTATTTTTATTTACCTCCATTGCTAGACTGTTGGCTTAACTGTTTTCTGATTAGATGTTAAGGCTTTGACTTCCCTGATTGCAAATCTAGTGTCCAAGGCCCATTCATCCTTGAAAGGAACCAATCAACCAACTGATAATCGCTTGACAATCCTGACCAACAACAATCTTGTTCAATACTTCCATCCTACATTAACAGCTAAGTTGAACCCTTTGAAGAAGTGCAAGAAGCTCCACCCTCAAAGAATTCCCACTTCCTACTGATCCTGAATATCTCATTGAAAATTTCTCTTTATAGCCTCTGAGAAAACCTCCAGCTCCAGCCAAAGACCCAGTAGTTGAGATGGTTGCTCGGCATCACTCTCATAGTGGAGATGTGGGACCAAACTGATGGAACTGCAGCTTCTCCTGTATGGCCAGTGGTGTCGTACCCTGGTCTGTCCCAACCCTTGACCCTACTATGATACCCAAATACCTGTATAAGGGTGCTGTATTGTGTTGGATACTTCAACTTTTAGTGTAAATTTCATATTTGATACTATATCCAGCTGTGCCCTTCCTGTTTCTGGGTAACATAGGCTGCTAATCTTTGACTGACTAACCCAACTATTCACATTACCAAAAAGGTACCCCTGACTCCAGAATCTCGATTATCCTAGATTTCCAATGGAACAACTATCAAAGTTCAGTCTTATTTCTCTGTTCAGCTCCCAGGCTCTAGATACTACCTGTGTTTGTTGAGAATAGCTAGCCATCATAAATCACCATGTGGGATTGGATAAACTATAATCTCCTTTAACTATCCTCTAGTCATACTCAATGTGCCACACACAACGTGCATAGATGAATGATAAATAATGCTGATAAAAAATGATAAATAATTGTTTCTTGACTTTTGTTCTCTATTATACTTAAATTTCTTTTACACAATATGCCCCAAATAACCATTCACCTAGTGCAATGCCAAAGAAGCTTCTCCCTTTAGAGTGTTAGTAAGACAGATTCTTATTTACTCTTATGGTTTTATAATTTTTTTTTAATCTGCCACCTGACGAAAGTCATCTTTGTAGATTCTGTTTCCTGTCCTTTTTTTTGTTATTTCCCTTTTAAGATATTTCCATGTCACTGAAAATATACCTCTGATTATCATTGTGTCTCCAATGTTTTATAATTCACATGTGTGAACATGTAAAGAATGTCTGTGGTTGGTTTGTAATTGTCATACATTTTCATAAAGTACATTGGTTCATGATTAATAAATATATTATCTAAAAAAAATGTTAACACTTGACTTCCTGCTCTTCAAAAAATAATAAAGAGAAATTTCTTTAGAAATCCAAAAAAAAGAGACATGGAAAAGAAAAAAAATGTCAACTGAATATTGAAGAGCTGCTTTTGTCAGCATCTCAATCAGTACATAGGATTTACTTGGACGTTTTTTTTTATTGACAGGTTCTTGCCACGATATGTGAGGATCTTCCTCCTGATGGAATACTTTTAATTTATCTATCTTCATCAGGTATGCAGTCTTTCAATCAGTTTATTCTCTCATGTATCTTTTGTTCAGGATGTTGAGATTTCATGCTCTTTCATCAATCAAAATACATCAGGAAAGGGTGTACGGACTTTTTCTTTGCCATCAACTTCTAATGCTACTACAAACAGTTATGATATGGGAACCTCTAATGAAATGGCTTCTGATGCACAATCTACTTCTCTACCGGGTTCTCCATGTGACGCCCAGGCCTTTTCACCTTGCCAAAACAAGGAAAATCATGAGAACAGCAATGCTGGGTTTTTGCGTATGGGCACTCGTGGGAATGGAGGTATTCCTATAAATCTCCATTTAATACTTTTGTTATGATCATCTGGAATTGATCAAAAAAATGATCATCCGGAATTGTTTTTACTTTCTTGATATTGTTTTCACAATCTTGTATCAATGATGCATTGCATATCAATTAGCCCTTATTTAATCCATGAGGTTACTTTTAATCTAGATTTTAACATCAAGGTCATCTTTTTTACAGGTTTGAACTGTCTCTATCCTTGTGACTTAATTCCATTCACAAGAAGGCCTCTTTTTTTTATTGTTGACAGTGATAGCAGTCAAGCATTCAAGGCAGGTTCCTCATCTCTAATTTATCTGTTTTTTAGTCCTACAATTTTTGTTTTCTGCAGATATATAAATTTTCTTGTTGTTGGACTTGTGAATCCTGTAATTGGCGTTCATCAGATGGGCAAGTTATTATCTTGATGATGAAATGCCAATTATTTGGATTCAGAACCAGTGTTGTCAGACTCACACCAGACTAGGTGGTTAGCTTGTCAGTACTGGGAACTGGCATCCAAAATGATTTTTAGGCTGCCTGGTTCTCAGAAATGTTTGCTTGGTTGAACCTAGTACAAATAAATGATAAATGTTTTTCATACCTTGTTGTTTTAACTTTAAAAGACATTCTTGAATGTTTCCTTTTTTTTTCTTTTTTTTTTTTACATTTTGTATTTGAACTAGTCAAATGGTTGAATTAGATTATACCTGTGACCTAGTACAAGTAATTGTTGACTTGGTCAAATTAATGTATAAATGCTTTTCATATCTCATAATATCTATTGTTTTATACTTACTTTAATATAAAGCAGCTTTAAAAGACATTCTTGAATGTTTCCTATTTATTTATTTATTTTTTTTTACATTTTTCATTTGAACTAGTCAAATGGTTGAATTGGATGATACCTGTGGAAACTGGGCTTCTTCATCTAGAAAGAAGATTTCCAGAATGGAGACCAGACTATTGGAGTTGATTATTGAAATTATACAAGTTAGGATTCAATTGCTGGCAAGCCTCAATCAGTTTCTAGGAACAAACACAAAGAAGGTTGGTAAAACTCAAGAAGAAATGTTTTCATCAGAATAGTGCAAGCACTTTTTCTGTTTATAGATAATAGATCATTCTCTTACAATGTTGTCACAACTAGGAGTAACTATCAAAAGAATGGGTCATGTACAGTGAGAAACTATACACAATTAGGCTAGAGACAGAAAAAGGGCTCCTAATAAAACAGAAAAAGCCAGCGTCCTCAAGTAGAAATATATACAAATAGTGCTGTGATTAAAAAAAAAAAATTATGTGGAATCTTAGGCTGCCAGCCCAGAATGGAGGGTAAGCTACATTACCGCCCACATGACAACTTGGGGTATTGTACTCTAAAGGGCCTATCTTAAAACAGAAATTGGTATACAAAGGTAGTAGAAACCTATTATGGATGCTCAGTGTGAAAGGAAATTCAGAAAGTTTATCCCTTTTTATGAAGGTCTGAAGTACGAAGTTGTCAGTGGGCAGAGTCTTTTTTTGGAAGGATTGTTGGCGTGTGGTACTGTGGTTGGACCTCTTATTGGAAGATTGCTCTGAACAAAAATGCAACAGTATCCAAGTGTATGAAAATGCAAAATGGATGCAGAATTTGGAACCCTCAATTCCATATAAATTTAAATGACTTGGATGTGAATTCCCTAATTAGTATGCTGAAAATATTGTACAACATGAGGATAAGTGGGGCAAGAGAGGATAAAAGGTTATGGGACATTGAGAATCAATAAACTTACTATTAAATCTTTTTATAGCAGTTTGTGAAGGGAGGAGATTATTGATTTTCCAAACAATAAAATATGGAACAAGAATATGCCATCTAAATTGTCTTCCTTTGTTTGATTTGCTGTGCTGAACAAGATCTTGACTAGAGATAATCTGATCAGAAGAGGTGTAGAGGTGGATGATGAGGGGTTGTTTTGTGCAGCAAAAGTGAGGAGTCTGCTAATCACCTTTTGTTGCATTGTGACTTTGCTTATTGGATATGGAGTAAAATGTTGAATTGGAGTTATGTGAAGGGTTTTATTACAGCTTGGCACTTGAAAGGTTTGGGCAAAGTGGGTAGAGTGGTGTGGAGCACTGTTCTGGTTGCTGTCTTCAAGGCAGTATGGGGTGAAACCGTGAAAGAATCCTAGATTTTTTTTTTTTTTTTTGAGGGGAGACAAAGTACATGAGAGGAGGTTCTCAAGAAGGTGATGGAAATGGTGATTTCATGGTTGGCTAACCACAATTTATTTAATGGAAGATGTAAATCTTTAGAATGGTCTTTCAAGTGTTTTTTTTTTTTTTGTGTAAAGGTCTAAATATGGTTATATTTATGTAATATAGGTTATTCTTGCTTTAAAACTTGTGCAGGCTATACATGAAGCTGATAAAGGAGAACCCGCTGCAATACTTCTCTCTCCTAGCACTCTATCTCCTTCTGCTGCTACTATTGTTGATTCTTCTCGTCATCCAAGTGGAAGCCAGTTCACCATGTTCCTCACAGCTCCTTTGCAGGCATTCTGTCTCTTGCTTGGTTTTTCAGGCACTAACATTGAAATGGTGAGTTATCTCAAGTTGAAATTTGACTTTGTGGTATTCCTTCTGTCACATCGTATTGGTGAATGGTAGTTACTAGTATGCTGGGGCTGACGAGTAATGTGGATTCTAGTCTGAGAGTGTCCATTGTGTGCCAAAAATGCCAAAGGTTAGGTCAGCCCTCCCAATACCCTGGATAGAGCACCAATATTGGGTAATRGTATCTGTGGCCTTTTTTATACAAGTACATGAAAAAGTTTCCTTGACCTCTTTTGGTGAATTTGTTTTGAGAAATTGCACAGGATGTGTATTACAAGGCTGAGAAATTGCTTGCTTCATCATTAAACGACTGGGGATCAACTTTGGCAACATCAGACACACTGCATCCTGTTTGGGCACAAATCCTGTCTGATCCATTCTTAAGACGACTTCTTTTAAGGTAATTATTGGATCCTTTTGCTAGATTTTAATTCAAGGAGACCGTGTATCTGTACTCTAAGGAATACTGTTATTTCTGACACAGTAAAGGATGTAGGTGATTCTAGGCAAGGAAATTTTACAACGTATTGGCCTGTATTAGCAGGTCATCAATACTCTAAATAAGGGTCTTTTGGGTTTTTGACGAGTTTCAGTGGGTAGGCAGGCCTAAGACCGACCCCCCCCCCCCCTGCAGAGCAACTGCATTTACATCATCCTGAACTTCAACTGGTGCAGTCAACTCAATCTATACTTTTTCAATCTTTAACCCAACCCAACCCAAAATTAGAAAAGGGTTGGGTTGGTACAACAGGTTTCTTCACCAGATTTTGCTTTTAAAAAGAGGTCTCCACCATGTAATCCATTATTTCTCTGAAACCTACTATAAGATACATAAAATATAAAATATTGTTGCACCAAAAATCAACATTTTTAAAATTTAAATTATTGGTGCATATATAATTATATTGCAGACCATTCTAGGTATGTTTCCCATGGTCTGAACGATCTATCAGGCCAGTTGACCTGTTAAACCACAAACTAGTGGGCTTTCCGGTTCTGCCCAGTCCAAGTCGGACAACACTTGTACAGGAACCATTGAAGTTTCACATGCTGCATTTTCGCATGTAAAGCCATGGTTTAATGTATTTCAGAAAAAATTAGATGACATAGCAGAGCAGTGATTGTTTTCAATGGTGTAATAGATATACAAGACAAAGCCACACAGAATTAAATTCCATTCTATCAAAAAAAAAAGGTTTTTTATGGTTGAATACCAATATGTCCTCATTTTTGCAGGTTCATATTTTGTCGTGCTGTGCTTGCACTTTATGCTCCAACATTCAACAAGAAAGAATTCCTTCCTGAATGCCTGCCCCCCCTCCCAGCAAACATACTTCCCACAACGCCTGCATCTCAAACTGTAATTCTGCAAATTTCTAGAATTTTTGGGGCAACTGATCATTTCATCTTCTCCGATGGAATTGTAGTTCCTGAAAATAGACATGACGTTGAAGATTCAACAGCCATAAGATCACCTGAAGCCCACAAGGCACATGTTGGTGAAGAAAATGGACATTGAAACTTGAAGGTAAAAAGTATTGTAAATAGGTTTCAGAATATGCTTTTCTTTTTCTTTTCCTTTTGGCCTGTTAGACACATTCTATAAGGTTTATAGAGACCATGACTACAGAAATGGCGATTTGGATGATCATGTCTTTGGGGAAGAAATGATCATGTCCAGTGGCAGGGGGGGTCACAAAATTTTGCCTCTATTGTGTTAATCACTTGCAGGCCAAAAGTCTTGATGCTAGAGTAGTAGTTGCCAGTGCCAGTGGGATTGAATCCATATTTGATATGATTATAAACGGATCACATTTGGATCACCTTTAGTGGGATTGAATTAGAATTTAGACAAAGGAATACCATTTGCAGCCCTACCTGACCGTCAGAAGTATTTTCCCTCAACTTTCTATTTCTCGTAAAATAAACATAGCTAGTTAAAACAGTACTAATAAAACACATACACATACACGTACAAATGTTTAAAGTTCAAACAGATTTTTGATTAGCCATAGGTTAGGGGGATTCCTGACCTGAATAAACCTATGCTCAGTTTCTTTGCAGTGTAAATGTATGCGAATTTAGCCAAGTATAAATTCTGATTTGCTCAGATTTGACTGTCTTATTTGTTTGTAGGAAGTAAAATGATGTGGCCCTCATCTTATATAAAAGAGAATGGAGATAGCGGAGAGTTATTTGTTTGGGATTGACGGTTGAGGTAGGAAGCAAGATGATGCGATCCTCCATTTCATATGAGAGAATCGAGGTAGAAGGGAAGTTGTGCAAATTGTGCATCAGTTTTTAGGATGCAAAATGGGCACGGTCAGTGCAAATGAGAATAAAAAAATGTAAATTCCGCATCAGGTAAGACTGTAAGAGTGCAGATTATAGTTACAAATAAATGGATATAAAACTGTACTGGGTGCATAATTTGTATTCAGTCCAGATTTGCACAAATTTGCTCTGCAAAACGATTGTTGTCAGATGGGTTTTGTGCAAATGTCAGGGCTGAGTGAGTACTAGCAACTTATTGGGTTTGGGCCAACTCAGCAGTGTCTATACTACTAATAAAAGAGCGAATAGTCTCATTTTCTGGACTTTTCATTAGACATTTTTACCCCTTGTCTAAGCAATGTACAATGGGTATAAAAAGGGCATATATGTCCTTTACTCTCACTCTAAAAACTGTCCGCTTATAACAGTTAAGAAATTATTCATTTGTAACTGTTCAAAAACTGTCCACAGTTAAGAAACTGTCTATTTATAGCTGTTCAAAAACTGTTCATGAATTGTAAATAGTTTTGTTTTGCAGATACCATCAAGTGTAAAATGCACATACATGTTTACTAGTGTATAAATATGTAATGATGTTAGACTGGACTAGCCCGAAGGCCTGCCAAGCATTGTCACCTACCCAACAAACAACCCTATCCCAGTCACAAGTTGGGCCAAGAATATCGTTGGGCGTGAAACCTTCTAAATAAAGCGTTCAAATGTGAAATTTAAGTTAAACATCTTGTTTGTATATGATGTCAAATTGTAAAAATATTTTAATCTTCAGGCTGTTTGGTTGCAGTTTGGATTTCATTTGCACTGGTGTCAATGCATAGGAATGCAAATTGATGTGGTCCTCACTCCTCACTTTATATGAAAGGATTAAGGTAAGAGCAAGTGATGTAAATTTTGCATCAGCTTTTCAGATGCAAAATTTGCATTGCTAATGGAGCATCTGGTACAAGCACAAATCATAGTTACAAACAAATGGATGCAAAAATGAACCTGGTGCAAAATTTATTTCCAATTACAAACACAGCCTTAAATTCAACAAATGAGAGCATTTAAAGAAACATTGAAAAAATGCCAAAATCTAAATGTTTTTTTCTTTCAACTTTTTAGTTATTAACCCTTCTACCTTTGCTTATTCAGGTATAGCTTGGGCCACGCACAAGCAATAAAAAGTAAAGACACATTATACTAATGAAAATGTTTGAAAAAATGAACCCAAGTTATTTGTAAACTTATTACCGTGAAAAAAGTTGCCTCTGGAAGTATGAAGGCAGCCATGTATGGAACTATCGCCATTCGCGTTCAATATTAATGTGTTTTCAAAAGTAAAAAGGCAGTTACCAGAAGTGTGTTTTTCCTTGTGCATCCAAACCCTGCACTCTAGGGGTTGTAACACTTTTCCCAGAAAATTTGTTTTGTGATATGGACCCCAAGTTTCTCGATTTAGGTACTTTGCCCCCTAACTTGTTATCAGGGGTATAAATGGATTGCATCATGATTCGATTTAAATTTGAATTTGATTCTGTTTCGCTGGATTTGGATGCCTTTTTTGTCCTTGATTTTGAATTGGATCGGATTGAAAAATAAGGTCTATTTAAAAAAAAAAGGATCAAATTCAAATCACCCCTATGGCCTGATTCCTATAAGATTTAATATTCTTGGATTGGATTGGATTTGGATATACCCCTATCYAAATTTGTCTGATCCATTTGCATCCCTACTATTGATGTTGTATCATCCCTACTATTGATGTTGACGGTGAAAGTAAAATTACTAAATTGTTTATTTGAGATTTTATGGACTGAAAGCAATAAATACCAAAATGATGAAAACAACCATTCTCAAACACAGCATTCTAAAAGCAAAATGTAAAGGAATATTTCATGATGTTGATGGTGCCAGAATTTTTACGTTAACCAAAAATAATACATGTGAAAGCAAATGACCGTTGACAATAAAAGCAGATCCCACAATTCATCTTTGCTCTTCTATTAATAATGAGTCAGGTTTTACGTTTTAGTTAATGACCCTCCAAAAATCAAAGCGCCTATGTTTCTCGGTAGAGGGATGACAAAGAACGAGCAGGAGCTACATCGCCTTTGTGTGTCCTGTTAAATCTCCAAACCCACCAAATTCTTCTTTTTTTTCTTGGTTTTATTCTCGGATTGATCCATTTGATAAGTGATAATTCTTTTTTTTCTACATCGTGATCGTGGACTTTGCACACACTGTTAAAGCTTGGCAATGTCACTCCACATTCTTCATGAATTTAAGATAAATGTAGGGGAGATATTATGTGAGCAGAATTTTTTGCTTGCAAGAGATTGGATATCCCCCTCATTGGATTTTTGAATTGAATCAATAGGATCAATTTAAAAAATGGATCAAATTTGAATATATAGACTGTTTGGATCTTTTTATTTTTCTTTGTATAAACTATTTTATTTCCTTAGTTGAAAAAAAAGGGAAATTGTCTAAATTTTCAGCATTTCTCTTAAACTCACTACAACTTTTCAAAACATCTAAAATTCATCATGTCGGTAAGTTTTTATTTTCTAAAACTCACTTCCGTTAGTGCACCGTTAATGTTTCTTAACAGAGGTGTCCACATAACAATTTTTATGACCAAATCACCCTTGAATGGCGAGTTAGAGGAAAATGGGGGTCTTTTTCATTTTTTTATTTTCTTTTTTTACATTTTAGTGTTTTTTTATAATGTCTAATGTTTTTTATAATTTCTTTTTTTTTACATTTTTCTATTTTCTACAATCTATAAAATCTTCTGTATTTTTTGTTATTTATTTGCAATTTTTGTGTTTTCTATAATTTTTAATGTTTTTTCTAAAATTTTTATTTTCTGGTTTTGTTTTTCAATTTTCTATAGTTTCTATAATTTGAAAATAACTTTTTAATTTGTGTGCAATTTCTATAATTTTTTATATTTTTTGCAATTTCTGTGTTTTTATGTATTTTATATTTGAAAATATTTTTTGAACTTTTTCCTTTTTTTCATATCTAAATATTAAACTATATGTATATATTTTATATATGTATATATTTTAATATGTATATAATTTATATTTTTCTATAAAGGTTAAAATGGTAATATATTAACAGTCGTTAGTCTCTTTAACGTCAAGTTAGTGGCATGGTGAGTTTTAGACATTTTGAAAAGTTGTGGTGAGTTTAAGAGGAATGCTGAAAACTCATGGCGAGTTTTTGACAGTTTCCCAAAAAAATAAAAAGCATAACAGTCCCTATGAATTTAACACCATACGAAAATTATTTATGCGAGTAGAATTTTTGTTTGCAACATCTGCCATCCACTGTTTGATGGGGATTGATTGGGCTCTTTTAGGTTTGTTCTCTGATTGTTATTCTATTAAAGGCTATTTCTTTTATGAAAAATGCAAATGGGGGTATGAACACCGGTGTGTTCACTGGTGATAGGTTGCCCATCCTGTTGTACACAATTTTGTTTTCAGTTAACCCAGATATCCAATTAAAACCCCTCAGAGTCCAAATGCCGAATCAGAATTCTTAGTCCTACAATTCTTTTTTTGTTTTTTTTTTTTGGTAAAAGAAAAAAACCCTCGGCTGGTCTGTAAGATCCACTCTATTAGATTTGATAGAATAGTATTGAATTCGATTTAAATATATGTGATCATATATACTTAAATTTTATATTGTATCTATTTGTAAAATTGATTTGAATGTTGTGTTTTTACTTAAATTGTCATAGAATTAAGTTTTATATAAATATTTTTCAATTCATTTTATTCATGAAATACAATATCAAAATCACTTCTAATTCATTCTATTAATAATATATAATGTTTTTGAATTAGTTTAGTTTAATTATACTGTTTAATATCTCATTACAATAAAAAAACGATTTTAACAAAATTGATTTGATTGTCATAGATTCAAGTAATTGCCAATTCATTTTGTTTGTGTAATACAACATTAAAATCATTTTTAATCTAATTTATTTATTCAAAATCTGATTAAATCCAAATTCGTTTTGAATCCGACCATGGCCAACATCCCATTTGAATTGGAATAAGTGATTCAGATTTGGATCTACCCATACCTGATTCAATCTGTTTGCACCTGCTCTATAGTTAGGGGTGGTCATGTGTCGGGCTGGGCTTTTATGATAAGGGTTATAGTTTAGGCCCCGGCTCAAGGTTTCGGGCCTAAAACATAACCTCGAGCCCAAGTTTACATGGGCTGGGGCTGGGCTGGGCTGGGCCTGATTCTGGGCCTATGTCTTTCATATATAAAACATCACATATATAATATTTTATATTAAAATATTAAATGACATATAACACGCATATAAATTATATGTCATATTATAATATTTATATATAAAATATATAATATAATATAATATAATATAACTTGTGTACAAATATATATATATATATATATATATATATATGTACACTACTTTGAAAAGCACCAATGGCTTCAAGAAATATTTCTGGAATTTTCTAAGGACAAAATTTACCCCTCTATATTTATATTTATTGATAAAAAATGAGGGCAAATAGGGTAATCGATTTCTGATATTAAATGAGTTGAAAAGAGGTAATTTAAAGATATTCAATGCATTCAATTCCCTCTCATTAAATCCAACATTTAAGTTATTAACTTGCATTCATGTTCATGGAATCATATATTTAAGTCAATTATGTTTATTCTCATCATTAAGTTTTATTAATTAAATCCATACTTAATAAATCAATAGTTCCAATAACATAGAAGCTTATACTTTTAAAATCTACCTAGCATAAATAGTGTTTTCATCTAGGTGGTGGTAAAAAATTAAATCATTTTGAGTCAAATGGGTTAATCCATGTTGCCACAAGAAATTATAAAATTAAAAATAGATAAAATGAAAAAATTTTAAAAATTAAAAAAGTTGGGAGCATTTTTAACATACATATTAAATGATAATAAGTATGATAAATAAGAAATGTTTTTATTAATGATGGAAATGGAATGTAAAATTTAAAATCAATTGGAAATAAAAATATTTTCCTATTCTCTCTCATTAAATCCTATATTTAAGTTATATTTTTCTAATCATTAAATTCTTGTAATTAAATCCACAATATTAATTTTAATAGTATAAAAATAAATATTTTGAAAAGTAATTTGAAAATAAAACCATTTTCTTCCCTCTCGGTGGTGTGTAAGCAATTCGACCACTTGGGGTCAAATGGATTAATAAATAATGCCATAATTAAATAATAAAAAATTAAAATAAATAACTATAAAATGTAAGAAGTATTTTTATTAATGATAAAAATAAATGCCAAATTCAAATCTACCTAGAAATGAAATGATGTCATAGTCAAATAATAAAATTTTTAATAATA